TGCTCTGGCAGCAGCCCCTGGCTGCAGCCAGCCCTGACCGCCAGGAACAGGGGCTGCAGCACTTGGCACGAGCCAGGATCAAACTGTCCCAGCTTGCACTGGTCCAGGATGCTGCACCTCTTCATGTTAAACGTAGTAAGAGCCCGCAGCACGGGTGGCTCCCACAGTCCTGGCTCAAACCAGCTCCAGCAGCTACCCGTGCTGTGGCTCTGCAGAGTTGTCCTTATCGACTAATCATGTAGTCAATACAAATCGATACAAATTGTATCGACTACACGATTAGCCAGATAATCGCAATTTAACATCCTTAGACTCCACCATAATTATTAAGCTTGACATTTACAAACTTTATTACAACTGGCACATTTAAACTTTGAATCTTTTGCCAGTATCACTTGATATTATTTATAAAGATCTAATCATAGAATAAAGTCAAGTCATATGTTATGCTTTGTTTAACAAATTTATAACATTTTATCCCCAGGAGTAAAAGCTTGCTGAGTGTCCTCAACTTCCATTTGAAGCCACTGGGAATTAAAAGCACTCAACACCTTGCACAATTGGGTCCTTCTATTGAACTTCTGAATTTCTCTTCCAAAGGCTACCTTAAAATTTAATTTCAAGTTTTGTAATCTCTGATGATTCTTACTATGCATACATGATGCAAAATTCTCAACATTCACCTAGAAGCCATAATAAAGGGGGCGGGGGGGGAAGAGGGACTTTCTTAAATAGTCAGAAAAGCAGCTACAATACTGTCAAGTGTATTATAAAAACAGAGAGGTTGTGGCTCATTTCAGAGTAGGTGTGTCAATAGCAGTATAACCAAGCAAACCACCACCTATCAGGTAAATTTCAGTAACTACTCAGGATAGCATTGTTTTTAGCATATAATTGCATGTCGGTTCCTGAAGAATAAAAATATCACACATTCCCCTCTGGAATGAAAGCGGATCACACCTCTCCCTGGTTTAAGAAAGAACATTCTCACACTCTCACTCACACTTATACACACACACACACACACACACCATTCCTTGACAGCTAGGTGCACTGTTCAATTATTTTCTGGAATGGTAAGGATAATCTCAGACTTGTCAAGATGATGTTTGGATCTAGTAGCAAAACAACTGCCCAGTGGAATCCTTAAATAGAAAAGCATTCGAATTTTCCATAACTGTCCTTGGGACATCAAACAGCCTTTCTAACTCAAAGAAAAATTAATAGTCAAGAGTTCTAAGTCTGAAGCTCCTGACTATCAGGACTAGAAGCAGCTACAAGATCCAGGAAGCTGGAGCAGGAAGAAAACAAGCAGCTAGTATGCTGCTAATCAAATTTTACAGCAGCCCACTCCTGCTCCCACAGTAGTCAATGTTTCCCCACACTGATTTCAATATAAGCAAATGCAATGTATACTCATGCTTCAAAAAAGCAAAGAGAAATTTTTAAATCAGCAATTGTACACTCTATTTTTATAAGAAACTCTAAGGAGCATATAATTCAAACATGATCTTATCTCTGAGACATTTTCAGTCGCCAATACATATGAAAAACAAATTTGGCCTTCAAATTAGACTGAAAATATGTAAGACAAATTCACAAAGTTACAAATATTTGTATATTATGGTTTGTAGAACTATTTAAATTGCCCATGAAGGCAAATACTTTGCTATTCCTTGTTTTTGTCCATATGGAAAATTAACTTTTTTGGAAGTGCAAACCTCTGTGATAGAGCCAGGTTCTGAGCAATTGCCCAGAGTAGGGATATTAAGTTGTGATTAATTTGCTGGTCAAGCGATTAATTTGCTGGTCAAGTCAATGGAATTTCCATACTAGACTAGTAGATAAGCACTTCCGCATTCTGCCTTTGAAATGCACAAGTGCCCCAGCGGGAGCTCTTCTGTATTTCAAAGTTGGAACGGTACTAGGAGCCCAGGGCCAGTGGGAAGTCTCGCTGACTCCAGGGTCCACACGACTGCTTCTGCTTTGAAATGGACAAGAGCCCTACAGAGCCCCACACTTGCCCCAGGCTCCATGCTGCGCTTCTTCTTTGAAATGCACAAGCGCTCCCGCTGGGGACTCTTGTACATTTCAAAGCTTGGGCTCCCCACTGCAGTCAAAGAGGCAGCGCTACACGGAGCAGCAGACCCGGGGCTCTGTGCGGCGCTCCCACTTTTAAGTACCTCTCTCTTAACCCTATCTTCCTGCCTCTATCTGATAGAGGTGATGGGGGCGGAAGCAACTAGTCAACTATCCGGTCGACTATCTGATAAGCATTTGCTTATAGGATAGTCGACTAGTCCTTTACATCCCTAACACAGGGACAATTTACTTTACTTTAAACAACATAAATTTGGTAAGGATCTCTGGCTCCTATTCTCGACTCATACTGGTAAACAAACAGAGCAGTACTTGTTTTCTTCCCAGAGTGGTCAGCAAAACAGCTTTTTCCTCCTGCTAGAGATGTATGCCAGACTTTCTTTCAGATGCAGGATCTATTTAGCTCCCAGTTAGAATGACTCCTGGAACTGTCTTTGAATTCTGCCTGAAAGTTAACTCAAAAATAAATAAATCCACTACCAGACACATATACAGACCACTGCTGGATTCAGAGTCTTCCTAAGGAAGGAATTGCAGATTCATGGCACCATCTTAGTGGTTTGAGGACTCCTGCACGCCCACAAAAAAGCAGGTCACAGAAATTATGATCAAAGAATTTACTTCAATAAGAAACCAAAAATACCATAATTGAAATAGTCCTTTTACTTGTTTTATCAAAGTAAAGTTCATGGCAAACAAACAAAAAAAATCAAACACACTGATTTATCAACATTTTTACATAAAATATTGTATTTACCTATTCGTAATGGTGGTTATGTATCCTTTCCATTTCTCTCCTGGAATACTAAAAATAAAATATATACAGATAATATAAATGTTAGGTTTCTGTCATCATTTTTGAACCACAGCCAAAAGATATTTTCTGATTTGCAGCTAGAAATAAAATAACCATTTATACTAAGGTGAAATTACATGAAGCCTCATCCATTACACCTCCTGATGTGCAACAGCCCACATATAAATAAATAAATTAAATTAATGGAGACTGCCTATCTCCTAGAACTGGAAAGGACCTTGAAGGTCATTGAGTCCAGTCCCCTGCCTTCACAGCAGGACTAAGTACCATCCCTGACAAATTTTTGCCCCAAGTTCCTAAATGGCCTCCACAAGGATTGAACTCACTACCCTGGTTTTAGCAGGCCAATGCACAAACCACTGAGCTATCCCTCCCCCATGACTACTCCTGTATTTATCCACAGTGGCATAGGCCTCAGTCCAGAGAGAGCAAGAACACTGCAATCCAGTAGTTATGGCTCATCCCTTTAGGAGATGGAAGACTTCGGACCAGTCTCTCTGCTCCAATCACTCTTTTGTTATTTACCTACCTTGGAATAGCTTCAATAGGACAGTGTACATTATCTCTAAATCAGAATCCTTGATAGTTCACTGGTTGATTACAGCACTCTCTCCGGAGAAAAAGGAGATAGGTTGCTTAAATCCTTTCTTTCTTTTCAGCAAGGGGGAAACTGTATCTAGGCCTTTCACATCCCAGGCAATTACACTAATTACTGGGCTAAAAATAATACAGTGGGCATGGAAATCAGCACTACTCCCTCTAGTAAGTTTGCATGGAGTGAGGCATGTTATTAGCTTATTCCAGCAGAAACAATTTAGGTCCCTAATTCAAGGCAGCTTTTTCCCAGTGGTGCATCATTAAGCAGAGCTGGGCACTTACCTACCTCAGAGAGAAATGGGATTTATCACACACCCTTGTTGTTAACACTTCCAATCAGGTGGCTTAGGTTGCTCCCCATCCAGTGCTGGCTTTTGTGGATTGCACTTTTTAGGTGACCAACTGTCCCCATACATTGTAGAGGGAGCCTATGCCACTAACTCATGGATTACCATGTTGTTCCTATGTGCCTAGACTTTAGACTAGGGATGTGAATGGTTAACTGTTAAGCTCCACCCTTAATGGGTGATGCTTTCTAGTTAACGGGTAGGGACTGCTCCAGCCTAGCCAGAGAAGCCCCTGCCAAGCACACCACAGGCAGGGGTACTCCAGTATGCCCAGAACAGCCCAACCCATGGCAGGCCTGCCCAGCGTGCCATGGGTAAGGGTGCTCCAGTACAGCTGGAACATCATAATACATGCTGGGCCCAGCCCAGCTTGCCGCAGGAAGGGATCAGCTGGAACAACATAATACGTGCTGGGCCCAGCCCAGCATGCCGCAGGTAGGGGTGCTCTAGCCCATCTGGAGTAGCCCCCAGCCACGGCAAGGCCCACCCCATTTAAGTGGTTAACCAGTTAAACATAACGTTTAATGATTAACTCATTAAACAGGATTTTACATCCCTACTGAAGGCATTCTAATTCTCAGCATTGCAATACTTAAGTCTCATTATGGATCCCCACAAAGTCATTGCAACTTGACACTGCAATGTCTGCATTGGAACAATAAAACACATCACTGGCCACAATGATATGACAGCTTCTTTAGCTGTCTTGAAAGTTAAGGGACAACAGGAAACCCTATTAACCTTCCTCACACCTACTGAGTTATCTGTACATACACACGTTTTCCCCCACCCAAAATATGATGTAGTTGTCATTTTCATTCCCACTAATATGATATTTTTAAAATAGATAATTTACAGTTCAACTCTGAAAGTGATTATGTAAAAAAAGCACTTTCTTATTCAACATATCTCACTCCTGTGTGTATTGTAATATCTGTTGATTTCAGTAGCTTAAACTGCAATTACATTGGTTGCCCTGTGAGCCAACATAGATTAGAAAGATGGAACGGGATTCCATTTTTTTCTTGAACACTGCAATTGTATACTCACTTGTAGTCAGCCACATCCATACAACCTTAGCCACAGTTGCATGGGTTAGGGGTGTAAGTGACTAGTCAACTATCCAGTATGCATAAGCTTATTGGGTAGTGAAGTAGCAACTCAACTAGTTGCTCCCCGCACCTTGCTGCCTCTATCAGAGACAGTAAGGGGAGGGAGCAGGAGCCGGTGCTGGGGCAGAGCCGGCAAAAAGCCCAGCTCCCTCCAGCACAGTCTCTGAGGGGAGAGGCAGGGGCACAGCAGAGAAATGGCACAAGCAGGGACTGAAGCAGTGCCCTGCTCCCGTTGGTTCCCACTGCGGCTACTTCAGCCTTTGAAATGTACAAGAGCCCCATTGGGATCTTGTATATTTCAAAAGCAGAAGCACTGCAGGGAGCACAGGGCCGGCGGGAGGACTCAAGCAGTCCTCTATTTCCCGTGTTCCCACTCTGGCCACTTCAGCTTTTGAAATGTACAAGAGCCCAGCTGCAGTGGGAACGGGTGCAAGCAGGGGACTGCTTGAGTCCCCTCTGTCCCCATGATCCCTGCCGTACCCCCTCCTTTCTGTCTCTGTGAGAGGCAGCAAGGAGGCGGAACAGGAACCAGTGCTGGGGGAGCTGGTTTAAAAGCCGGTTCTCCCCAGCACTATCTCTGGGGTGCCACCTGCTCCCCCCAGGTACCGCTATCAGATGCAGTGGGAGGATAGGGAAGGCTGCTGTGAAGCAGTCCCTGCCCTCAGGAGTCCCAGTGGGGCGCGGGGCCCCATTCTGCAGACAGAGCCTGCTACCTCCAAGCACCCCCTGTTCGTGGGAGCCAGGGCTGGCCCCGGGCAGAGGCTGCTCCATCTCTGTGGTGCCGCCTGTCCCACCTCCACCCACCCCATGCTTCCTCTATCAGAGTCAGTGGAGGGAGTAGAGGGATAGGGGAGGACACTGTGAAGGAGCCTCTGCCCACGGCAGGGCCAGGCTCACCAAAGGCAGAGGCTGCCACCCAGCAGCCGCTTGT